TATTTATATTTATATTTATATATGAGGGGTGGGTGCGGTCGGGATCATTGTTATTTCAATACCTTTGCGCTAGATTTTACATAATGCATCGTAGCATGTGCCAGGTTGGTCAGTCGCCTATTTGTGACATCTGCGTAAGCTATTGTAGATGCATTCAGTGATTCTCTGCAGTATTGTGTTGTCCTTCTTATCATAGTATACCGGTAAGTCTTTTAGAACCCACAAATTGCTAATGGTTCGGAGTGTCGGAATATTTATAAACGCATATGAATACGTGTTATTTAGTACAAGCACAGAAAAATATGTCCATTCCACGACTGAACGCTCTACGATTTCGATAATAAGATTTCACCTTATTGATGGACCCAAACTGTATTCTCTATTGTCATATGTGCATACATCTATCGATGTCACGTACATGCAGCAAATATTCCAATTTAAACCACGGAATATATATCTCATTTACGGTTATCGCCGTTTCTCCTAAAAGTAAAAATAAATAAAAAATTCTTCTATTTTGGGGATTTATTTTACAATCAGATGTTCCAATGCGTAGCTTAGAAACCACCATGGCCAAGTACCAAAACCCCGCTGAGGCCGATAAGATGATGAAAATTCAACAAGATTTGGACGAGACAAAGGTTATCCTGGTATGTATTTCAGAGAAACTGCCGCTCGAAGTTTTTAAAGTTTTCCTGGAAAGAGCAACGTGTGTTTTATGTAGATATCTAAGCCGTATACATACGAGCTTCTCATATGTGCAACACCGTTCACATTTTAAATCCGGCAATCAGCACAAAACTATCGAGAGTGTCTTGGAACGTGGAGAGAAGATCGATACTCTGGTAGAGCGCTCGGAAGATCTGAGTAGGCAATCGAAGGTGTTCTACACTCAGGCCAAGAAAACGAACCAATGCTGCGATTGGATGTAGTGTGAGACCGCTATTGTAGGTGGCGGAGAAGCACCTGTTGAATAAAGGAGTGACATTAACTAGCAACTGTCGTAGTTGAACGAGTGTGATGTTCAATATTTTGTCTAACTAGTAGAACTGTTGACTTTGTATTAGAATGAACTTGTCGTTGTAATAACAACTGTAATATTGAATGTAGAATCATTATCTGGAATCGGTATGCGAATGGATATGGTAGCAGACAATAATTTTCGAGTGCGATGTGTAGTAAACCCAAGGTGACCTTGGGTTTGGGCAAAGTTTCGGGCAAGTATATTTCAGGGAACTGCATACTTGGTTTAAATTTGTTTGACCACTTCTTAATAGCCTTAAACAGGGAGGCTATTCTTTCTTTCTTGAAATAAATGATTTAGGGCTGCATTAAACTTGGTTGTGAGTGACTACCTTATAGTTTGCCAAAGATGTATCCAAACTAGCAATTCTACGCACACATTATGCCGCAGTAACGGGTTGAAAATAACAAAGTTCGCTGCCATTGAGTGTGGTATTGGTTTGCACCTCGTGTGCGATTTTTATGCGGAATTATCGTTCAACGGCATTTAAAAGTACATAACTGCAACAGTAAACTGTAGCTGGATAGGGACATTCCTTACTTTGAGTTTTCCCCTGCCTTCTACTGATCAACAAACGTATCAATACATGACAAGAATACACGAGTACAAATTGTGGATGTATATGTAAAAGAACACTTGAATACAAAACACATGCTTCTTATAATATATGCAACGTAATTTTAGTCGATATTGGGGTAGACTGATTGAGGCGAGTATGCGAGTTCCAATCAAAAAGCCGAGGATGAAAAATTCTTCAATCGAATCTATTGTTTTTTAGACTTTATTCCTGACATACATTAACAATATAGGACAGTGTTCTATTTCAACGTTTCTATGAGTGGTTTTGAGGATTTTATAAATTGCATGAAAGGCATCATTGTTGAAAAAGATCCCCTTTATCGCAGTTTCAGGTGTGTACAAAATGACATCCACCATTTTATTGTTATATCTGTCTGAGCACTCTCGATCTGCAAACAATACAGAAGGCGATTCGGATGTGCTACTTGTGAACCCAAGGGCTCATTTTAGATGCGAAACCAAGACGCCTAATAGTTAGCGGAATTTGTCAGTGAAGGAGGTGCATGTGAGAGCACCAGGGGTGTGGACAATGGGTACATCGGAGACATGAAATTTATCAATTTGTTTTGAATGTACGCGTCCTGCATTAGCGAGATTACGCCAGTGCCGGATTATAACGCGAAGGCCGACAACATGTTTGGCCATTCCTATGTACGTCATACTATAGTGTTGGTATAGGTGGTGATAAAGCCAGGGGGCGCCTAAGAAGTTGGGTTTAACTGCCAGCAAAATTCCGTCGACGACGATATCTCTGGTCTTGCGGAGCCAAATGTATTCGTCGGCTTTTGATGGAACGAAGTCAGCAGAATGTAACTTGGAGACGATGTCCTGATTCCAGAGACGACCGGCCTGTTCAAGGCCGTAGAGGCCACGGTTGAGTTTCAACCCCGCGGTTAGCTTGACCAAGTTTTACCGCACCCTTCTGTGGGTACATGTAAACTGTTACATCGAGTTTACTGTACAAATAGGCGGAGGTTACAGCGAAGTGATGTACCTCCTTGTCCTGAACAATAATCGGAAAGCCGCTGCCTGGGCAGTTGGGGCGTATATATGTGTGTAGCTGTCGCCCTGTTGTTGCTTGTCACCGCGGGCTACGAGACGGGCTTTGAATCTAGTGAGTTGCACGCGGTCGTCGTTTTTAAGCGCGGACAGGTATTTACCATGGATTATATTTCTGTCTGGAGCAAACTCCGAGATAAAGTCGAGGTCGGCAAGATTGCTACGTCGGTGATTGACTCGTTTTGTGGCAATGGTTTGAAGGCAGTCGGCACCAGAAAGAGATTCGAGGGCAGCAGCAATAGACTAAGGTATATTAGGATCATACATGGCGGCGGCTTCGTTCAAGGATATCTCGATTCTTGTAGTGGCGGCTGTATGAGTGACAGACGGGTGTTGTCGGAGGAATCGGAGAGATTCGGCGGCGGTCTCAAGATGGGTTTGCGGGTCATGTATCGTCGTGGTAAGAGGTGGGTTGTGGATAAGCGTACGAGGAAGGTATGTGGACGTCGCATGGTGGGGTGGTGACTCAGGGCGAGGTGGACGAGGACCAGGCCGTGGTCAAGGTATGAGGGGATAGGAATTGGTGGAGGGGGTAGCCGGTGTAGGGAACATGGGAGATTCCTGTGGGCTGATAGAGCTGTGAGCTGTGATAGGTGTTGATTTGAAGAAGGTAAGTATTGGAGAAGAGGTGGCGGTGAAAACAAAATCGGGCGTAGGCAGGGTTGGGGGGGGGGGGTGGAAATTCAGGGTGGAGTCGGGTATACATGCGGGTGTATAGGCCCGATTAGGGCGACGAGAATAAAGACCCCGATTGTGGTAGTGCTGTACCTGGAAAATGTGGCAGGTGAAAATGTGGCAGGTGTGTTTGGCTCAATAAATGGTTGTGATTGTATATGTGGCAAGAATGGCCGGCCACCATTTAACGCATGAGCCCAAAGGTACCACAGCGACCCTGCGACTGCCAGCTCGAGTGTTAGCAGCTATGAGGGCATCAATAAGGGATCATGGGGCACAAGTGTAGACGGAGGTTGTCTTGTGGTCAATCGAGGGCTTCACCACCACCTTCCGGTGAAATGAAGCAAAGAAGGTGAACATTGGACTTCAAAGCACATATGACAATTGTGGGGGTGACGCTGATGAGAAGGATCTTGCTGAACATTCAGCCCTCCGTGCTGACATAAAAAGGAGGAGAGCGTGTGAGCGTTTGGCCATACGAATCGTGATCCTTTGACTGTGATGGCCGGTACTCTTGTGATAGGCGTCGTATGTCATGATCTTTGACCAGGAACTGTGAGGGTCCGTGGTTGTGTCATCGACATAGGGAAAGGTGGTGGGTGTCGAGGCGTTGACATCGACATGAGGCGGTGAAGGGATCATCTGGTTAATGGTGGATAGTGCAAAGATGTGCGTAAGGTCGGCGTAGTTGACGTAGTAGGTATCGATAGTACGAGGGATAGTGAGTTGTGTAAATGAATAGGAGAAAATATATTGATGCTGTGTGCCATGGTATCATGTGGTGAAGCCAGTATCCTGGCTAGGTAGGTGAGTCCAAAGTGGGGCAGAGCTCCACAATTGTCGGCTAGCTTGAGCGGGAAGTTGCTAGTTTCAACATCCAGTAGTAGGTAACGAACCCAAATATCGATGAAACCTTCTGTATCGGTGACTAAAACTATCTCACAATCGCGCATCTGCTTTTGTAGTAGACAGACTATTATATTAGAAAAAAAAGTTGACAGAGGATATATTATTTACTTTATTATATAGTCTGCACGACCCCATCCCATCATATCACGGATACAAATCTGTGTAGTGTTGCAACACGGTTTACCTGCTTCCTCTGAAGCCAACGTATTTGTGATAAACACACATGACCAAATGAATATCGTTAATGATTTCACCATAATATGTCGACGGCTCGAAGTTTCTAAATTGAGTTTGATTCTGCTACGGCGATAGTCCGGCCAATTCACTTATAGCCTTGAGCTTCGCCTCAGCTG